TCCATAGTACTTGACACTTCAATTCAGTTACTCTCCCACTAGGATTATTTCCAAGATGCTAACTTAATGCAGTATCCTAGCGGATTTTGGTAGCTCAGAAAATCAAGCGAGCTCTTAAAAGTCAATGTTCTCATGTCAAAGGTTTTTAACTAGCTTTTTTCACAGACCCTGCCCTCCCTGTCAGTATTATTTACACAATGTTCTTAGAAGAGGCTGGAGGATGGTGACAATCGCAGTTCCGAGTCGTCATACATGATATCCTTATAATTTTTTTGAAGAAACCGTCAACTTTAGGTTTTGCTTTTGCAAATTTTACAAAGTGACACCTGCTGCTACAAACATTCGGTACAAGGGAATTCTACAAGCTCTTTCTCCCTCTCCATCCCTCTCTGAAATCAATAAAAAATATATATTTTTTTATAAACCTTAAATATAACCAATCGTGTGACTTAGAAGCAATGACTATAGATCAGTGATGGTGAACCTATGACACGCGTGTCAGAGGTGACACGCGAACTCATTTTTTTGGTTGATTTTTCTTTGTTAAATGGCATTTAAATATATAAAATAAATATCAAAATATAAGTCTTTGTCTTACTATGGTTGCAAATATCAAAAAATTTCTATATGTGACACGGCACCAGAGTTAAGTTAGGGTTTTTTAAAACGCTGACACGCCGAGCTCAAAAGGTTCGCCATCACTGCTATAGATTGTAGGGAGTAAAGGCTATACAAAGATAGCATACTATATGCTATAGGTAAAACATGTAATCCAGGCATTACAAACAATCTTGGTAATTCCTAGGTTATTGTTATGGGAATATTATTAAACTATTTAAACAAAATACCAAATTTCATACTTTGCCACTGTTATAGATGTTAAGTACAGGGGTAAGCGGTAAGATCAGTAGGAACCACCTTCACTGCTTGCTGCAGTTCTACCCACTTGTGCCTTTCCTTTCACCATCCTCCCCTAATCCTTTCCAGGTCCCGTCTTCCCCAGGCCAGTTCTTTAACTAACCAAATGCCCACATTATTTATCACTTCAAGTTTCTAAGTAAAGCCACCAAAGGCAGTAAAACAGAATCCTGTGGTAAGCTGTATAAATTATACTGTCCTCATTAGAAGAAATTTTCTAAATTAGTCTCAAAATTCTTCTTGAAAGTCAGTAAATATAGATATAAATATCCTCTACGTCCAATATTTTTTTCACTTTCCCGAATACTTTAAGCTTATCATTTGCTCTTCATTGGGCCTTCACATTATGCCACTGAACAAAGCCTTTAAAAAAAATAAGCACAGGAAACTATTTTAAATACACTTCTAGAATCATGCAGAGTTCACTCTCCTGATACTTCCACTCCACTCGGAGCTAAAATTCCTTCCCAGGTTGGGGAACTGCGCTCTCTCTGTCGCTGTCTCTTTATCCAGGGGGTGAGCGCGGCCATGCCCCAAACTCCAGGACCACTTGCACTTTCGCTGCTTTCTCCCTAAACTCAGGTGACGGTGGTTTGTTTGGCAGTTTGTCAAAAATAATCAGAATGTAAAGCGCTTTGTGATCTTTAACCAAATGTATTTGCTGTATACACAGCATTTGCCACAGACATGTTTCACACATTACAACAGAACACAGTGAGGGATGTACTGCATAGTCAGAATCTGAACAAACTTCTCTTTGAGAACTCTTCTTTAAAATAACTTCTTGTGAGCTAAAAATGTTGACTAACCTTCTTTAAAAAATATAATTTCATGACAATTATTGCAATTATTGTAACCTTCTAAGAATGACCAGCTTCTTCCATATTTATTACCAGGTAGTTTATGGAATCTGTGCTATCAATAGATCCTATTTTCTGGAAGAAACAATATCAGAATAGGATTTGTATTCCAAACCAAAGACACAGCAATGAAACCATAGCTATAAGAGTAATTTCTCATGGCAGCAAAGATAAAACCATTATCAAATTGTATAATATAAAGTGACAAAATGATGAATCAAATTTTTTACTTCTAACATTTATCAGGTGTCTGTTCTATGTCAGGCACTGCTAACAAAAAATAATAATAATAAAGACGAAGTGGTACTTGCCACTATCAAGGAATAAAGAGTCTAGATTTACTGAACAAATCAATGTTTGGTGCCTGCAGGGGGCAGGGTTTTTGGGGGGCGAGGGGGGAGAGGGGGCTAAGTTCTATGAAAGAGAGATGCTCAGAATCTCTGGGGACACAGAGGAGAGGCATCTACATCAGCATCGTGGGGTTCAGTAAACACTTCCTGGAAAAGCTGGCTCAGGCTGAGCTGAGCTGCTAAGAAGAATTGGCTGAAAGAGAAGAGCACTCCAGGTGAAGGGAACAGCTCTGTAACAGAGGCCGAAAGCCATGTGGACCATCCAGGACACTGAGAGTTCCTGTTTGGATGAAAGTTTGAGGAGGGACAGACTCGGGAAATAAGAAGAAAGAGCATGGTAGAAGCCAAATTATGAAATGCTGTGAAAGCTACATTTAAAAGTTTCAACTTTATCCAGAAAGATAGTCCCCCAAATTCTCCAAAAGCTTCTAAAATGGATTTTAAGCAGGGGAGTAAATGAGTATTATTTCATTTTTTAAAGCTCTATTTGCTTTGGTATGGGATGAGGCTAATACAGTAATCCTGAATGTGGGATGGGACATTAGAAATGGAGAGGAGGGAACAGATCTAAGAGGCCAAAGGAGATAGAATTTGTTGAACTTAAAAGACTGATTGGAAGGGAAGATGGAATGAGAACGAAGAGCCTAAACTAACTTGGTGACTAAGTGGGTGATGGTACCAGGGCCCGGAAGACAGGACAAAGGTGGTTCTGAGGCAGCAGGAAGGAATGACAGGTTCATTTCAAACTACCTTGGACATTATGTTTTCTATGTATTGTCCAAAGAATCCCTAGAAAATATAAGTCACATGTAAAGTTTATAACAACTAACTCCTCTGTATGAGACCTAAAGTTTATTGTGGCCATTACATTCATTTTCATTATTTAATTAGCAAAGATTTCCTAATTTTCTTAAAGTTATGTTGGGGGTTGGGAGAAGGGAAATATTTGGACACACAAAGTCTCTTTTACAAAGTAGATCAGGAAAATTTAAGTTCCTTGTCTTCTCTGAATAGTTCCTTGCAGCAAACTGATATAGAAAATCATTCTATTGACCAAAGAATATTGAGCCTTTAAAAATAACCTGCAAATGAGACCTACATTCATTAGAAAACTATTATACTCTCATAAGATATCAAGAGGTGAAATATATTTTCATCATGTAATATTAACACAGCATCAACATGAGTTGTGCATAGTTTGTGCAAACCAAGTTTAGAAACCAGAAAATGAAAAAGAAAAAAAAAAGAAACTAGATCACCAACTTACACCATACACAAAAACAAACTCAAAATGGCTAAAGGACTTAAATGTAAGACAGGAAACCATAAAAATCCTACAAGACTCTATAGGCAACAAAATCACAGACATATGCCGTAGCAATATCTTCAATGATACTGCTCGTAGAGCAATGGAGACTAAGGAGAAAATAAACAAATGAGACTACATCAAAATAAAAAGCTTCTGCACGGCAAAATAAACCATCAACAAAACAAGAAAGCCCACTGCATGGGAGAACATATTTGCCAATGCTATTTCAGATAAGGGTTTAATCTCCAAAATTTACAGAGAACTCATACAACTTAACAAAATCAAGATAAACGATTCAATCAAAAAATGGGCAGAGGACCTAAACAAACACTTTTCAAAAGAGGACATTCAGAAAGCCAAGAGACATATGAAAACATGCTCAAAGTCACTAATCATCCGTGAGATGCAAATCAAAACAACAATGAGGTATCATCTCACACCTGTTAGAATGGCTATCATCAACAAATCAACAAACGACAAGTGCTGGCGAGGATGCAGAGAAAAAGGAACCCTCATGCACTGCTGGTGGGAATGCAGACTGGTGCAGCCACTGTGGAAGACAGTATGGAGTTTCCTCAAAAAGTTAAAAATGGAACTCCCATTTGACCCAGTGGTCCCACTGCTAGGACTATATCCCAAGAAGCCAGAAACACCAATCAGAAAGGATATATGCACCCCTATGTTCATAGCAGCACAATTTATAATAGTAAGATTTGGAAACAACCTAAGTGCCCATCAGCAGACGAGTGGATTAAAAACTGTGGTACATCTACACAATAAAATACTACACTGCTGTAAAAAAAGAAGGAACTTTTACCATTTGCAACAGCATAGAGGGACCTAGAGAGCATTATGCTAAGTGAAATAAGCCACTTGGAGAAAGATAAATATCACATGATCTCTCTCATATGTGGGATATAATGATCAATATAATTTGATGAACAAAAATAGAGCCAGAAACAAATGGCAGGGGAGGTGGGGAGGGGGGGTGGTTAAAGAGCAACCAAAGGACTTGTATGCATGCATATTAGCATAACCAATGGACACAGACGCTGGGGTGGTGGGGGCTTACCCGGGGTGGGAATGGCTGGGGGGTGAGAGGAAGGAGACATATGTAAAACTTTAGGCAATAAAAAAAAAATGTACTTCAGAGGTAGTCAGAAACTTGTATTTCCAACTGTTTACAAAGAACTTTATGATTTATTCATGTATGGGAAAATATGTCTTCAGCTCCATTAGTCATTTCTCATTATATTCTATGACAAGAAAGGGTACACTTCTCTCTATTTATTGTGGATAAACTGTGACTGGTGAGGAGAAGAAGCTGCCTGGGGCAAAAGCTGCCTGGAGGACCAGAACAACTAAAGGGAAGAACCAGGAGTGGTCCCTGAGCCTCGGAGCTGAGTAATGAGCCTCTCTGGCTCCCACAGCTACTAGGAGCTGCTCAGAGCTCTGCAAAAAGCTCAGCAACTCAAATCAGGAAAACAAATCACTCACAAATCTCCCTCGGGAACTAACGCCCCGAGGAGCACAGCTCGCTCCGGGCCAGGCGGGAGCACTCACTTTCTTTGCGAACTTGCTCCAGCGTAGCAGTCAGCTCTTCCTTGAGAACAGTGGCTTCCTGGGCGATCTTCTCTCCCTTGTCTAATAAATTCCAAGTCGCTTCCTCCACAGACGCTAGAAGAACTCTGGCTCTTTTGGAACATCCTTTCTTCCTGTTAGAAGGATTCTGGGGACAATTTACAAGTGTAGTCACCTAAAATTGAAAAAAATACAAGTCACGCATTAGACAACTTGTGAGGAGAACGCAGTCCTGGGGTAGCATAGCCCAGAACGAAAGGAAGCGCATCACAGAAACTGAGTGCAGCACAGAAACACGGAGCAGTACTGCTGGTGCATCCCCAAAAGTCAAGGCACCCAGAATATTATCAACCACCACTGAGCTCCTGGTTAATGGTAGGTAGGAGCGCAGGGAGGGAGGAGAGGGAGGGCCCTAGAGATGGAGTCTCATCAAGTTTTACCACTAGGACAATGTTTTAGAAGGTCGTCTGTGTGTGTACCTGTGTGTTGTTTTTATTAAAGAAACTTCACATGGAAAAAAAGGAGACAGAACCTTAATAAAGCAGTCAAAAATGAAGAAAATTTGAAAATGATATATCTCAAAAATATCAAATAATTATAAAATAAAATGTATGTCACTTTGTAGCCAGCAGTAGTCTATTTAGGCTGAGAACAGAGGTTACTGATATTAGAGGGGTGGGAACTACTCTGTAACATATAAAGAAGTGGTGACCTCAGTAGAGCCAAATACGAATCCTTACCATAACCTACATTTCTGGCCCTTCGTAACCTCTCTTCCCTGTCTCTACACACTCCTCTCAAACAAACAGGTCCCACTCAAAGTCCCCTATCAAGAGGCCTTCCTGACGACCCCCACCATCTGTCCCCTCACCCCACTTCATAGCTCTTCAAAACACTTATAGAAGCTGGTATTTTCCACTTGTTTACCTGTCTATGGCTTGCTTCCAATATTCAAATGTAAACTCCATGCAAGCAGGAAATGTATTTTGTTCTCCAGCACACAGAACATTGCACAAAGTAGGTGTTCAATAAATATTATATAAATGGATGAATGAATCCAGTGGTTGAAAAGAGGTTCTTTTAAATGTCTGTATTTTTGAATTGCCTGAATATGTTGATAATGAACACAATACTTTTGAAAAGGCTTAAAATAAGAATAAAGTCATAATGAGAGCATTGTTTAGAGACAGAAATTAAGCATTTATATTTGGAACAAAACCTCATACCACATTGCATTGTGGAAAATATCCATTTCTTAATTAAATGTTGGAGCCCAATAACAAAATTTGGTTAGCATTTCCATGTGCAGAGCTTGAAGGTCACCATCATAGAGGAAGGAAAACAACCTTGAACCTAGTATTTAAGAGAAGAGCAGGAATTCCAGTAGAAAGCTCAACTCCTGCTTGTCATCAAATAGCCAAAGCTTTTAACAATCTGGTGCCACATCATCGACAACAGACAGAAAGACAGCCCCTGAGGATTTTGCTCATTTAAGGGGCATTCAACATTTGTTTAGCTAGATATCTGAATCCAGTTTTTTTAGCTAGGAACTAAGAAAGAACTTGCAAGCTATAAAGAAATATGTGGATGAAAATAATTTTTGTCTGCCCTTTTATCCTCCTGTCCAACATACCTTCTGGTGTTATTTTTTGTTTCGTTTTTTTTAATATATTGTTATTGATTTCAGAGAAGGGAGAGGGAGAGAGAGAGAGAAACATCACTGATGAGAGAGAATCATTGATCGGCTGCCTCCTGCATGCCCGCCACTGGGGATCAAGCCCTCAACCTGGGCATGTGCCCTTGACTGGAATCAAACCTGGGACCCTTCCATCTGCAGGCCATCGCTCTATCCACTGAGCCTAACCGGCTAGGGCCATACCCTCTGTTTTATTCTAACTTGCTTTATCCCCATGTTCATAACCCAGAGGGGAATGCCTTGCAGCAAGCCTTTGTTCCCGCTCCTGGGAAATGAGAACAGTCCTATTATCCTGTAAGATTATGTGAAGGTTAAATAATGGAAAATGTTTTGTAAAATGCATAACATGATACAGATATTGGTTGGCATTTAATGTGTATTTTCTAGTCCGTTCCCCACGTTGATATAGAAAATCTGCTATGGGGTCCTTGTCAAAGGTGTTCTCTCTGGGCCTAACCTTATCTTGCTCTTGAGGTTCCCTGTGCTGAATGTGATGAAGGCAGTTAATAAAGCACATTCTATATGCTTTACAAGCAGCCAATGGGCACGTGTCTCTATCATGCATTACATAAAGATGATAATAAGCCTGATTTATTACATGGGTTTTCACATAGTCCAAAAAGCAAGTATCTCACTATTATCAGTCTAATTTGTGTATCAAGAGTTAAAAGATACTTGCCCAGATGAAGACATATTATAGCACCTAGTTTAAAACCTTTGTTTAAAATGAAGAATAAGTATCATTGTCTGAAATGTTCTTTCAGAATGTACTTTAAGTGCCACAATTCATGATGCTTCCCACTGAACATTCCTCTATTATTGTTCTGATCCTCCATGCGCCAAATGTTTGAGCTTTGAAATTAAAATGAGCATTCCAGAAATGCTTTGTTCCTTATAATAAATGCCAGAGAAGAAAGAAATGTGAAAAGAACATTGTATAACAACACTGTGCTCCCATCAAAAAAAAAAAATGCAATTACAATTGCAACTCGCAAGTTATTCACTTTTATAAATCATTTATGTCTGTCTTCTTTTAAAATGCTCCAATATGGTTATTTATTATGGATTAAACCAACATCAAGTGGTGGTTTCAATGATTCATTTTAGTTCAAAAGTATACGTGGCTTGGTAATCCTGGGAGGGAGAGGCTGCAAACAAAGCTAAACCTTTTTTTTTTTTAACCCCAACTCCACGATAGACTCTAAGGACTCCTGTCACTCATATAACAGACGATTCTCACCAAGGGTTGAGGAGTGCTATCTTATCTAAAAGTCATCTCTTGAGGGAATACCAACAACCAGTAAAAACAGCTTTCAAGTCATTCTGTAAAATACTTCTGTTTCTTTTTCAGTATGAAATCAGTGACATTTTTCTAAGATCACATAAACTTTAGTTGGAATTTACAGCAAAGATGGTTCTTATGCAGGGTCCAAGCCCATCTTGCTAACCTTTCTTTTTGTCACTGATTCACACCCCTCCCCACCCCTCCTTATCATACCTTAGCGACCCCTCTCAAACAGAAAATCTTCAACACCAGGCTTGCAGCTCTTAAAGAACTTGGATTTGCTCATTTTCCTCAGTCTGTAAGTCTGTGCTAGGCCACAGACACACCTTCACGAGAAATACATGTATGAGTTCCTCACTGAAATGGTTCTAAATTACAGACTTCAAGTACTATGAAAAGGAGTTTCCTACTTTCTTAATTCTGCATGTTGCAAATTCCATAAAACCAGATATCTTTTTAATAGTATATAATACTGCCCTAACCGGTTTGTCTCAGTGGATAGAGCGTCGGCCTGCAGACTGAAGAGTCCCAGGTTCGATTCTGGTTGGGGGCATGTACCTTGATTGCGGGCATAGCCCCAGTAGTGGGTGTGCAGGAGGCAGCTGATCGATGTTTCTCTCTCATTGATGTTTCTAACTCTCTGTCCCTCTCCCTTCCTCTCTGTAAAAAATCAATAAAATATATTTTTAAAAAAACAAAAATAGTATATAATACTGATGTATTAAAATTTAGAGGTCCAAAAAAGGGTGTTCTAACCTTTCCTCGTTCAAGTGTGCTCTAGATGCTCCAAGGACATGGAGAGTTAAATTGCTGTGCTTAGTGAGCCAAGCCATCGACTTCATGCAGAGCCGCACATGCACACAGGAGCTCTGCAGAAACTGGCGAGAGGCTGCAATTGACTTTCATAGGCTGCATCAGCTCACAAGTGCTTCAGTGCCTCAGATTAAAGCCAGCTTCGTGGAAAGTCTTCTCTAATGCCAATTGGTAACACATTTATATTCTATAATCATGTTCTTTCCCACTCTAACTCATTGGGGGAGGGGGGGGCGGGAAGAGGGGAAAGAGAAAGAGAGAAAAGTTGATGTGAGAGAGAAATATTGATTAATTGCTTCCCACACATGCCCCCACCGGGGATGAAATCCACAACCTGGGTATGAGCCCTCATCGGGAAATGAACCTGCAACCATTTGGTGTACAGGACGACGCTCCAACCAACTGAACCACACCAGCCAAGGCTAACTAATGCTTTCATTAATTCTAGTTATCATATTAGTAAAAAAAATTAAAAGCCGTTTGTTTATTAGCTAAAACACTTTGAATTTTACCTTCCTCCAATAGCTAACAAGAACCTTCAGGACTACTTTTACTTCCTTGAGTTAATTTTAATGTGTGATACAAAATATAAGACATTTAAGCAATGTTAATTAGCTAAAACTTCAGCGTTTTGGAAGAAATTTAAAGGATAGAAAAATAAAATTGTCTATAGATAAGTAAAACCAGTGATCCCTTTAAAATTAAAGATATTATCTAATTTTTTGTTGGGGGTAAGTCCCTTCAGGTCACTGATGATTTCAACTTTTCTTAAAAACAACCTAGTGTATTTAAAATAAATTTAAAAAAAGTATTACGGAAGAATGGAGTGTTGGGAACCCAGGAAATGCATGGGTTAACATTTAACATTCCCCCAAAACCAACTATAATCTTCAGTTAGCATTTGACACTCTCCAAAACCAACTATAATCTCCTTTCAGTTCGTCTCACGCCAATAACCACTTACCGAGCACATATAGAAAATAAAGATTAGTAAGCGCCAGTACGGAAAAGAGATACAGCCAGCTGCGATACAAAAGGCAAATGATAACTGCTTACACTTACAAGCACAAAGGGAGTGCTGAAGCGACTGCAGACATTCACAAGGATTACGGAGGGCTTCGGAGAACAGCCTTGAAGGACAGACAGTTTCTGCCACGAGAGATTGAGGAGAAGGTGAGCCAGGTGAATTGAACCGTGTGCAAAGGGGCAGAGATGAAAATTACTTTTTTCTGGGAATAGCAGATAGTCAAGTGTGGCAAACTGTGGAGTAAAAACAGGAATTTGGGCAAGAAGTAAGGTTAGGAAACAGGCTATCGCTTGAATATGAAGTGTCAAAGACCAAGGAAAGAGTTGATGTTGCATGCAGTAGGCGACAGACACT